GGCCAGCTTAATATCAGTTAAACTTTTGACAAGGGAACAAATTCCAAACTGATGTTATCAGTCCTGTAGCTAGCTRTAGAGCTTTGCAACTCACTAGCAACAGCTGCCCAGTGCCATGTGAAGTGATAAACTGGTTTTTGGTTTTCTTTTTCCCTTCCAGTTTTAATGTTATGTAATGTATTTAAACCCTTATTTAAATAAAACTTGTTTTCAGAAATAACTGACTTGCAGATTCTACTTTATCCATAGTCAATCTTGTGTATATGGATGAACCAYAGAAATAGGCAGTGGAGGACATCACAGCTTAACAACTGAACTTGGCCTAGCAAGCCTTTTGTGAACTTGTTCCTTGTGGGTCAGCTGTTTTGCAATCATTTAGCTAGAGTTATGCTGTCCCATTAATCAGTGTCCTGGAAGAATGCTGCATGGCTGACAGGGTTAGCCAGCCTGAGTGATGCACTGGTCACTGGGCTGTCCCTCTTTCAGAGCTGTGGAGAGACTTGAATGGTTGAAAATTCTTGAAGTTCCTTAATGGTCTTCATTTAAGCCCTAACAAAAGGACAGTCATGATAAAACCTTAATCAAAGATCCACTAACTAGAAAAAGTGTGCAGCATTGTACTAAGCAATGGGTGTATAGTATTGAGAAGCTGGAATTTAATGTTGGGAGTTCACTCCTGAGAGGAAATGTCAAGGTCTGTCCTTGGGTCCATAAATTTGTTGCTGGCTCATTTTGTAGGTAAAGGTCACTTGGGTGAGTAGGGATAGAGGCCAGGTTGGGAAGATACTGGAATCGGGTAAAAAAGTTGATGGAGTGACAACTGTCCTGAAATGTAAATAAATCCCCAAAGTAAGGGCTTGACTAGAAAAAATTTCTTCCTGCAAAACTGATATTTAATACAGGTAGAATTTACCACCTGACTCGAAGGCTCCAAACATAGTAGCCCTTTACAAAGAATTTGAGACCTCTTAAAACCAGGTATGGTTGCACATCCATGTGATCCCAACACCTCAGGAGGTTGAGGCAGGAGGATCATGAGTTCAMAGCCAGCCTCAGCAACTTAACAAAACCTAGTCTCAAGATATAAAATGGGCTGGAGTGCAGCTCAGTGGTTAAGCACCCTGGGTTCAATCCCCAGTACCAAAAAAAATTTGACACGTGGTAGGATTTGATAGCAAAAGGGTTCTTACAGAAAACTTAGCAATTCTAGAGGTCAAACCTTAGAAGACTACCATCAAATATGATGTGAGACAAGAGAATTCCTCCCTCTGCTATAGGTTGATGTGAAATAGCAGCTAGATTCTTTATTTGGATGTGGCTTTTTGTGGAAGGAGCTGTATTTCTCTAGGATAAAATTAAGAGTTCAGCTAGCAACAGTTATCTATAAAAGTGTTACTGTGAGGAAGTTTGTGAACACCCAAATCCAATTGTGATTTGGGTGAATCTCTGGACTAAAGTAAGAAAGCAGGGCTGGGGATGTGGCTCAAG